GCAAAAAGACCAGATTGAATTGCTGTAATCAAACACTTTAAAAATTGGGATAGGCAAATATATGTGATATGTTACCACAGGCTCTTGTGTGTGTGTGTGTGTGTGTGTGTGTGTGCATGTGTGCGTGCGTGTGCACATGTGCATGTGCCTGTAGGTGTATATGTGCATGTGTGTGTTGCTGGACATTGAATCCAGCCTTTGCACTGGACCACATTCCCAGGTTTTTTTATTTTATTTCCCAGTGTTTTGAGACAGGATTGTGATAAGTTGCTAAGTTGCCCAGGCTGGGCTCCAACTTGCAATCCTCCTGACTCAGCCTGCTGGAGTGCTGGGACTTACAGATGCATATCACCTTGTGCCTGGTTTTCAGTACCTATGTTTTAAAAGTTTTTTTTTTCTTTTGTTTTTGGTGCTGGGATCTGAACCCAGGGCCTCACGTAGTACCCATTCTAAGAATCCACTCTACCACTGAACTACAGTCCAGCCCTATTTTAAAGTTTTAATGATGTTAATTAATGGTTTATGGACATAGACTATAATTTTATCCATATCTAGCAACAGAACAAAGTCTAAAAAGCCTAAGATTTCAGGAAGATGTAGTGCGCAAAGGAGGCAGCTTCGAAGCCCACCAGCCTGCCCCTGGCTTTCACTGTGTGATGTTGGGCAGGTAACTTAATCTCTCCAGAACTCTTTCATGTGTGAAATGGGCAACGTAGGATGCCTCTGCCCCAGGCTGTGTGAGGCTTAGGGAGCTGCGGCAAAGAACGCTCCCCATGTCTTCTAAGCACTCCAAATGCACTAGCTGTCACTCCCCGCTTCCCCTGCAAGCCCCTGCAAGCTGACTCATTCACTGCACCCCCGTGTGAGTTGCATTCTCCGCCTTGGAAGCTGCTGTCTGGCTGTGTGGAAGCCAAGTGACCACTTGGAGGGGATGTTGCAGAGGCGAACTCGAGCCACACAGGAAGCTGACGCTGGCGATCTGCTCCAAGCAGCCGCACGTGCGCCGAGGGTCTGCGTGTTCTTGGGATCCTCTTGCTGCTCCAGTGTTCCGTATTCGTCCTGCTCATGTCTCCTAGACAGTTGGGGAGGCCCTTTGTCCACTGCACGGGAGACAAGGAGGGGCTCTGGGTGGGGACCGTGGAAACGGAAGTCAGAGGTGGGCCATGCATAACGACAGGGACTTGATCTACACCGTGTCGCTTACATTCTCCGAGTCCCCCCTCTGGTTTCTTTTGCAGTAAATCCAGGAGATCTGCACCCACCGCCTAGGATAAGAATTAATCAGATAACATACAAAGGGCTTAACAGAGAGCATAAGACTAGCAAGTGCATTAATTGTCATTCCTCTTCTTTCTCCTTTTCTGTCCCTGTCATCAGAGGGACGAGTTAAGGCTGTGCCTTTAACTATGGGTTTAAACACCAGCTCCCTTTGTCTTAAGGGAGAGCAGGGTGAACAGATGGAGATCACGGGGCTCCCGGGGGGCATGGGGTACAGGCAGGTGGGACAGACAGCAGGAGGCCCTGAGGCCAGACAAAGGGACCAGGGCTTGAGAAAGCAGAGTGGGGAGCCTCACTGTTGTCCTTGTGCCTCTGTTCCTCCTCCCTTTCCTGCTCCTCATCCTGTGACAAATGCTAAGCACGACATTAAATAGCTTCAGAAGAATAGAACTCATTTTCATGAACTCATACTGCAGTTGGAAAGCAAAACGAAACAGTGTCCCCTGTCTTCCTGTATTCTTCCTGGTTCTGCAGGGCGCAAGATTGGCGGTGGGGCCACCTTTCCACCAGGCTCTGTTGGCACATTTTTTCCCAGAAAGCTGAGGAAGGGAGGGCAGTTGTCACGTGGGCAATTGGCTCATCTGTCACTGGAGAGCCCTCAGGGCGGAGAGCACCACTGAAGTGACCAAGCACCTTTGTAGGCCATTCTTGGGGCTCTCCACGTCTGCCTTTTAAATTGGTGGCTGTGCCCAGCACATGCTAACTCATTTATAAATTCTAGCTAGCTAGCTCCCCGGGGGCAGGAATTTGCCCTGCATCTGGAACTGTATTGACACTGAGCAGACTGAACTGTGTGCAGTAGGAAGCAAGGTGATGGGTTCTGGGTTCCAGGACCTTCCTCACTTAAGAAAATCAACTGAATTCTGGGTTACAACTGCTCAGTGATCAGCCATTGTGCCAACAAAGTGGCCTGCCCCCCCATTCTTTCTGCTGGTCCTCAGGCACGGACCTGGGGAGGATAAAGTGCTCCTTAGCGTAGTGAGTACAGAGTGGCCACCTGCTGCCTTTTTGCAATGATGACCCCCTAATCCTGGATGTCCCCACATCTGTAAGCCACATCTGCAAGTCTCTGCTCATGAAGATCAGTGGACAGGAAAGAACACTGAATATAATGCTCTTATTCCAATGTTTATTTATTTTTTGAGACAGAGTCTTACTATGCTGTTTAGGCTTGTCTTGAACTCACTATGTAGCCCAGGCTGGCCTCAACCTCACAGCCATCCTCCTGTCTTGGCCTCCCAAGTACTGGGGTTACAGGAGTGCACCACCACGTCTGGCAAGGGGAGGGGGATCATTTTTTATTTGTTGTAAAAAAAAAACAAATGATCTCATTTTTATTGGTCATTTATCTGTGCAATAATTTTAACGCTATATATCATATTGCAATAATGTAGAAATCATATACAACAAAAATAGATAAATTTCTCTTTATAAGAGAAATGGTAACAGAACATCTAAAATTTTAATGAATTCCAAACACTAAAACTTTTATTTTATTGTCCTCCTGACTTTCCATTCTAAATAATAGCACCAAAGGCACTACAAAGAGCTACTAATTGCCACACACTGTCCTGAGCATTTAACCCTCTCACGACGCTGTGGGGTGATATTAAAGTTGACGCATTTTACAGATGAGAAGACTCAGGCGCAGAAAGATTAGGTAGGATGGCCGGAGTCACACAACTTTTCATACTGTTCCTTTTGTGTGCTTTTTAAATTTTTAATAGTACTGGGGCTTGAGCCCAGGGCCTTCACACAGCTGAGTCCTCAGCACTCTGCCAGCTCTGCCTCAGCCTCCCAGACTGCTGGGATTCCTGGCCTGCACCACCACACCTGGCTCCTGGGCTGCTCTTAACCTCCTCACCCTTTCCCTGAGCAGCTGAATTCCCTGCAATGGGAAGCCAAGCCCAGGGACAGTGAGCTCTTGGCAGTTAGCGAGCTGCCTGCCTGGCTTCCCCTCCCACTACCTTCCCCTCTCTTTCAGTCCCCATCTACCCTCAGCGGAAGGGATGTGCTAGAAAATTGCTCTAGATGTGTACCAATTTCCACTCCTCAGGCTCCTTGGGAGACATGGGTCCTGTGAGGACTGGAGAAGCAGCCATCCAGGAGGAAAGGATTTTTGACGGCAGCTGGGTGAGGGGAAATGGAGTTGACGAACCCACAGAAATGGTGTCAGTGAGACTGCAGCTGCCAGCGGAAGAGGCCAGAAAGTCACCCTGCAAGATCTTCTCTGTGTTTCAACCATGCGGTGGACTCCCAGACCAATCCGCACAGGACAGCGGTGTTCCCAGAAGGTGACATCCAGTGCCTGCGCCAACAGGACTAGGGCCCTGGGGGTGGTGGAGGGAACGGGAAGGCAGCGGCCCAACAGAGCATTAACTGGGGAACCAGACGGTCACCTGCCTCTGTCCACCCCCAGCCCTTTCCTCCCCAGGAAAAGGGAAGTCAAGCAGATGGAGAAATGGGGGAGGGAGTTCTTGCTGCTCCTGAGTTGGCACCGAAGGGTCTCTCTAACAGTTGACTCTGATCCCCAGCGAGACAAAAGCCTCTGCCATAAAAATGATTAGCAAAGGCTTTCTGAAAAACATTTCCCCAGGACAGAAGAAAAGAGAAGGAATCTTGTGCATACAGCTTTGCATCTCTGAAATAATCACAAGGAGGCCTTTTTCCAACCGGTGGCAGGTCCCTTGCCTTTCACATGCCATTTGCAGGCGCGGGGCATGGCATTTGTAACTCCTTTGCAGCAGCAAGTGGGTGGCTGGTCCTCAGAGTAGGTGCCATTTTGAAAACTGCTGCTCTCTACCGAAATCTTCCATATTTCCAGCTGCACTTCAGAGGCGTCCTTGTGCTGCATGAACGTGTTCTCTTCAAAACGTACAGTTCAATTTCTCAGCACAATTTTAAGACATTACAGAAAATGGGCTCGTGGGCTTTGGAAATCAACACGGGCCTCCTCTGCGAACACTTTTATAATTTATGAAAATAAGGAAGAGGAAAGTAAAGAACTTCCTCATTGTCAGGCAGCAAGTCAATAGCAGAGCTTGAACTTGACTTACGTTTTTAAGGGGGAAGCATTGTGCTCTATAAACTCCAAATTACCTTACACCCAGCAGATGTTATAGTTATTTGATCTGAGTTGTGGGAAATAAAAGAACAATGAAGAAAGCGGGTGCTACAGCGGTGAAACTTCTTTTCTCAAGTCCCTTAAGGATGCTTTCCCTCCCACCCAAGTGAAGGGGAATCCAAGCGGGAAGACAAAGAAGGCCGGGTGGGGCGAAAGCTCCGGGCCTAAAGCTGAGTCACTGGAGTCGTACCCCCGGCAGTGGGTGAGGCCCGTGTGTGAGGGACACCGCGCCCTAGCTTGAGGACGTCTGCAGCAGACAAAGCCAGATTCGCAGTAGAGGAATGTCTGTACCCTTAAGTGCCACCCAGGCCCCTAGTTGTCACGCACTGGTCCCCGAGAGCAGGTTTAGGCTGCTCTTGCAAAAATTCATTATAACAGGATAAACGTAAAAGGGGAAAATGCACTGTGAAGAAAGTATTGGAGGATGGGCTTTTGCTCATTTTATTTTTCCGCCGTCCTTGCGGTTAAGGCGCACTGATGGGGGAGGGAGACCCCCCCCCAAAGCCGCGGGCCTCCGGACGCCGTTCAGCGGACGCGGCGCGAAGGAGTTAAGCGGGCCTGCGGGTGACATCACCTCATTTACATAGGAGCGCGCATATAGCGGTGCCTGCCGCGCCCCGCCCGACACTCGGCGTTCGCCACTGAGCAGATCGGACTTCGCTCGTTCGCGCACCTCGCTCCGGTGAGCCCCAGGGCCCCTTTCTCCGGTCCCCTCCAGCCAGGCTCACACGCTTGCCCCCTTCACCCCCTGCATCCCTATTCAGGAATCCCTAAAGCGGATCCCAAGTGATCCTCCTTGGATAGGTCGCTGGGAAAAGCTTGAGGATGCGTAAATCCCTTCAGAAGCTGGGCAATGGGAACGATAACTCAGTCTTCAAAACCACAAAAACTGGCATTTTGCCGTACAGCCTCAAGGGGACATTTTGGCTTTAGTTTTTCCCCAAAGGCATCTCCGTTGCCTCTGAGGCTGAGCTTAATCAGAAACGAAAGATCCTTTGTTCTAAAGCGCATTCCTGGGAGCTTGGAGCCTCAACCGCTCTCAAGTCTCCCAGCCTTGAAGGGATCGATGGCTAAGAAGGCTGTATCTGAGCAGGTTTAAGGAGGCTGGGCGGTATGGTGAAATCAAAAGTCCTACTTGCAGAGGAATGTGCGCAAAGGCCGGGGGATTGCCCCTACATGCAGATCCGTATTGATTTATGGAGCGTGGGGGGGGGGGAGCTTTGTGCCTTCGGCTGCACAAAACTCGGTGGAGAGGGGGGAAGTGGCCGGGGCGGTGGTCGGAGGCACGGGCTGCAGCTGCCGTCTTTGTGAGCGGAGGAAAGGCGGGATCAGGCCTGCATCTTTGGAGGGGAGAGATCGTATCTAGAAAACGAAAACCCGTCCTGTGACCTTGGCTCCAGTTTTTACGCGATTTTTGCCTTCCACATTTACTAGGACGTGGCTTTGTTACTCTGTATGCGCTCCAGCCAGATTGTAATTTTTAAACGCTGCAGTTAACCTGCAGTGGTCAATTTCGCTGCCTGAGGAGATTTCGGCCTTGAGCCGTCTTCCTTCCTTGGTCCCCCACGTTTTGAAATATTGAGGGGGATCTCTATTTTTTTTTCCTCCTGCAGAAAGAGGAAGCTCCTCAGCCCTGAACAGAAGAGGAAGGGGGGTGGGGCTTCAGGCTGGGCCTTGGAGGGGAGAGGAGCATTTTTGAGCGGGGAGAGGCCAGGGCGTGGGTGGCGTCCTCTCAGCCTCTCAGCCTCGCTCTCGGCTTTGTACCTGCAGCTTTCTCGCGACCATGTCTGACAAGCCCGATATGGCTGAGATCGAGAAATTCGATAAGTCGAAATTGAAGAAGACAGAAACGCAAGAGAAAAATCCTCTGCCTTCGAAAGAAAGTAAGCTCCGACCCCCCCCATCTTCAGAAAAGGCTGGGCGGATGCGGTGGGTGGGAGGAGGATGGGAGGGGCGCGAAGGGGGAGCGGGGGAGGAGCAGACAGTTTGATGATGATGAATGCGGTTTAGAAAGGTTAATTAAAATTGTTTTGCAGCCAACAAACACAGGGCCTTAGTGATTTAATAGTGGAATATTTAATATGTCATAGTAATATACAGGTACATTTATCTACTAAAATGTACTTCGATTTAACACAGTTAATATAAATTATGTTTGATTATAATTGCGTGTATGCAAAATTTTTAGGCCATGAAAAGCGGTTTTAAATGAAAGCATTGTAATCTTTATAAAGTATTCTGGATTCTCTTAGCCTATCTTTTTTCTTTTTTTCTTTTTTTTGTCTTTTTCCGGTCACAGCGATTGAACAAGAGAAGCAAGCAGGCGAATCGTAATGAGGCGTGCGCCGCCAATATGCACTGTACATTCCACAAGCATTGCCTTCTTATTTTACTTCTTTTAGCTGTTTAACTTTGTAAGTTGCAAAGAGGTTGGATCAAGTTTAAATGACTGTGCTACCCCTTTCACATCCAAGAACTACTGACAACGAAGGCCTCGCCTGCCTCTCCCATCTGCCTGTGTGACTGGCAGGGAAGGAAAAGAGCTTGCATGTTGGTGAAGGAAGAAGCTGGGTGGGAGGATGGTGAAATCTAGAGTGAAATTCAAGCTGGTCCGAGGTGTCCTGCAGGCTGTAAAATGCAGTTTAATCAGAGTGCCATTTTTTTTTTTTGTTCAAATGATTTTAATTATTGGAATGCACAATTTTTTTAATATGCAAATAAAAAGTTTTAAAACGTGGCCCGGTGTGACTGCTTGGTGTTTGGAAGGAGCGGTTTGATCGAGGATGAAACCTTGGAGAAGGGACCTGCCTCTTGGTGTCACGGGGACTGAGAAGTGACAAACATCTTTGGTGATTTGGTAAATTCCTGCGCCATAGAAGTGCGCTTCTCCCAGGTACCCAAAATACCTCAGCTATAATTTAATAGGCAATTGGGAGGTGATTTACGTAGGCTGGTTCAACTCCTAGTATGAGTTATATAAAATCCTTAATAAAAATAGATTGGCCAAACTGGGTACAGTGGGCACAGTGGCCCCTGTTATTTGGGAGGCTAATGTGGGAAGATTGCACGAGCCCGGGAGTTCAAGGCCAGCAGGGGCAACCTACATTTGCCGTTGATCATACAGGTTCTGATAACCAACACTGAATTTATCACACATACTCAAGAAGAATGAAGGTGAATAGTTACAGCACGTCTTATTTGGGGTATCAAAATGAACTTGACTGCTTAACCAGTTGCCAGTTTTGCACAGAATTTAGAAAGCCTAGCCAGGTAAAACAAGTAGAAGTGACATTTCAGTAGCTGCTTCAAAAAGGAATTCAGGATGTCAGGTTCCTCACTGTCTAATGGCTGGTTTCCCATTTGAATTCTATATTTAAAATGGCGTTTACAAAATAGTACATGCATTCACCATCAACAAGTGAGTTAAAGTCATTGAATTCTCTTTAATTTGGATAACATGTTTGGATATGAAGGACACAAGCAGAACACGGGTGAAATGCTGTAAGTCTGGCAGACATTAATTGGTTACTGAGGTCTCATTTTTTTTCTCGAGTCCTCAACTGGTGAGAAAAAGCAAAGCCAGGCCAGAACACGCAGGAAGAGAAGGAAATATAGTGTCAGTACTTTAAGGGTAAAAGTTAGCGTTCTTAAAGCTCCTTAATGGATTCCTCCCTTCTGTAAGGAAAGGTGCAGATTTTCTTAAAAATAAAGAGCACCAATTTTAATAAGCAAAATTGACGCTGTTTAGAGTAGTAAACCCAATAGTAAAGCTAAAATGTATAACGCAAATGTCCAAAAAGGTAAACTTTTTCCCCTTAAAAACTGACTTATGAAAACACCCTTTTTGAAGGGGAGGGGGAGGAGAAATTGTTGATCGTGATCAACTAAACCAGTTGATTTCCTTTGCTCAACACTTCTTTTGAGAAATGCACAGGAAGCCATGTACCTGTGGTTTCAAGCATCAAGTAGGCCAACAGCTAGAAGCCTATCTGCACTGTGAGGGGAGGGGGCTGATACAGCTGCTGCAAACCTAAAGGCAGGAGCCAGCTGCCGTGGGAAGGAAGACAGGAGTAAAAGGATTTGGGGGGGGCATCGCAAGATGAAACAGGGCCCCAAGCCTTACAGTTAGCAGGGTAGAGGCCCAGTGAAAATGCCCAAGGCTCCAAGATAAACCAGACCCACAGAGGTTTTTGCTATGCACGTTTTTCAAACAATGCAAAGATGAAAGATTTTAAGATGCTCGCACAATCCCAGCGTTCTTCAGTTTTAAAAGGAACATTCAGTGAAAGGGATGGTTATGAGATCAAATGATGGAAGAAAAGATCTTTCTGTCCTAGCAGGACAGAGCTAAAACAGAAAGGAAATAAAAAGGGAGTACCAGAGAAGTAGTAATGATTGCATTGTTCACAGTTTGGTGCAGAGACTGGGAAATTCAGAAGCTTCTTCCTGTATCACATGCTGGCAGAGTTAACTGCTGTGCAAAGATAGGAGAGGATACTTTGTTGTTATTGTTTTTGTTGCCTTTGATAGGGATTCTTTGCTCTTCCCAAGAGAGAATCTTCCCAGAAGGGTTAAGGGTATTTATGAACCAGTATGGGAATTCATGCTACTGTTATTTGGAGCTATGCTTTGACAGTATTTTTCATAGATAGAAAGGGGATATTAAGTTTATCATTAGAATGAGAGAAAAATTCAACTGGAGACCCTCGCTACAAAGTCTGTGACCCTGTCTCCTCTGTAGGAGGAAGCAAGCCAAATAGGTTTTAAGTAAAAGGTAATGGTCACAAAGTTTTACCTGGTATTTCTGCAAGTTTTGAATTGATCAAGACAAAATAAAAAGTAGAGAAAGTAGCAAGAGGCTCACTGAAAGACCTGTCCTCTGAAGATTTCTCAGACATTTCTTAACCATCGTGGCCTCGTATTTCATTCATTCAATGCATGGAATTTCGAAGCTATTTTATTCTTTCAGGAGAACAGCACGGCTTTTAGGCTCCATGTGCAAGGACTCTGTGTGTATGGGAGGTGAGGGGGTGTCCCTTGCAAACACCAGAAGCCTTGCAAATATTGAGCTGGCCTTTTACATCCCTTATAATCAGGGTTAGGTATTGTCACATTATTTACTTATTTATTTGTATGCTTTGGGGATTGAACCCACGATCTCATGCATGCTAAGCAAGACTTCCACTGCTGAGTTACACTCTTGGTTCCTATTGCCAGCCTTAAAACTTGAGGAAGATCTGTTTATTTCCCCAAAGAAGCATCTAATTCTTGAAGACACAAAATTAAAATTTACTTTTATCATTTCTAGACATACGGGGCCAATTGCACACTTATTAGAAAGAACCCTGCATTTTGGAAACCATTAATATGGCTGTAATCAGCCAAAATATCAAAATAAAAATGAAAAGTCTTGAGCCTTTCTTAGCTCAGGAATGTAAATTTAAGCATTGCTGAATAATTTTTAAGCACTTAACACTTCATTTACCCTAGAGCCCTTCACTAGTTTAGTAAAAGAACTAGAAAAATATTCTCCTCACCCGACTATAATTCTATAGTAGTTTACTTTTCCTTTTCCTCCCCCTTCTTCTCCTCCTCTTCTCCTTCACCTCCTCCATCTCCTTCTTTCTCTCCTTCTTCTTTTGCATTTCCAAGAATGGCTTATACTGCAGTGTGAGACAATAAACACAACAGTTTGCAATTCAGCCATATTTTATTTTCATGTAACAAAAAATGACTAATTACTAATTTAAGGCACAGATGTAGAAAGAAGCTGAGACAAAAGTATGCTTCTAAGACACATATATATTATATATATATAGATTATGTGTATATTATATATATATACATATATTTTTATATATGCATGCCCAGTTTATATTTTCCTTGGATGTTCGTGTAGTCTAATATCTCTCTGGTCACACTATCTTGCTAGTGTCATCCCTATTCTTGTCTTCTGAAAGTCGTGGGCAGAGTTGTGCAGGCTACATTCATTGGGGACACATGTTGTATCTTTTCATTTCCCAAAGTGTCCTGCATAGTAATGAAGATATATGAAGACTTTTATACACTCTTACCCCCTTAATTGATTCAGTCTCCATTTAACATACTTGTTTAGTGTAGCTTTGAACATGTGAATATCATTTGTAGACAGCACAGTTTTTTAAAACATTTAAAATATATTTAAAGAGCTTGGAACTCTAGCTTGCCACTGTCTATGGTTATGACTATTTGAATCATTATTTACAGCCGGCTACATATTCTTATATTATTAAGCCATAGAGCGAGATTATTCATCCGCTCTACCAATGTTTATTAACTGCCTAGTACATGCCACCCAGACAGAGTGATAAATAAGAAGACATATTCCCTGCATCTGTGTGTCTCCCACTGCTTAGAAGATGCCCTTTTTTATCTAACTCTGAATGGGAAATGCCAAGAAACTTTTCCTTTCCATTTTTAGGATACACAATGAACCTATAGGCTTTGCATTTCTAAATAAGTTTTAGGATCTTTGCTTTAGTTTAGTTTGGACATTTTCCCACATGTATGTATATCGAGTACATTAAAGCTCTCCACAAGCTCAGTGGTGAGTGAACTGGGATGGAAACCAACTGATTCCCTAGGCTGAAATCAAATATTTTATAAGCATGCATAATTGGATACGATAACTTTTCCCTGTCATCTTTTGACAATCCTCTCTGAGGCATGCCCAAGATCTAGGAATGATCTGAGTAGATAGCCTTTTAAATTGTACCATTTGTGGGGATTTTATGATTAAGATGTTGTATTTCCAGAGAACTACTTCTTATTGCTGAATCCTTGCCCTTCCCCTGTCCACCTTCTCTCTCTGCAATTCAACTGCAAGGTTGTTAGGAGCAAAAATAGCCCGCCAATTTTCGAAATCCCTCAGAGAACTTAGTGAAATCATGACCACAAGATGCTATCTGTAGGTAGGGCACCTGGCTGGAGGAGGCCTGGCTCACATTCCTTTGTGCCATTCCACAGCTTGAAGTGTCAACAGAGAGGGACAAGTTATGTTCATGATCTATTCAAAGCAGTGGGAACTATTCCTGTCACATTACTGTCAAACCTCAGGAAATTATGCTTTTCCTCATTACCACATTGAGCTCTGTAAGTGGCTGATACCTTTGACTACACATAGACTTTGTGATAGTGTCTTCTCAATTTAGAAACCAAAATGTTTCACAAGATTAATATATATATGTATTTTCAGATATGTGGTTTTTCCTATCTAAAGCAATGGTTTGCTCAGAGGGGCTGGAGTCATTCTCTATGCAAGAGCCATTTGCTGAGTTCCTACTGTGTGCCAGGCTCTTTCCTACTTGCTTGGAAGGAATAATGCCCGGGCATGGCCTTGGCCATGAGAGGCAGACATGATGTGTGAGCAGTTGTATGCCGCATAAGTCTTGTCTCTGTTTATTCACCCACCAGGGGTTCACCCAGCTTCTATTTTTGACAGGTAAGATCCTGGGCTGGGAGATGAACTGGAATCAGATTGGGAAGGGCCACTGCACCTGGTTAAGGAGCTTGGCAATGACATTTAGGCAACTGGGAGCTATCGGAAGGTAAGTCATATAGTCCTCATGAGGCAACTTGAAGACTTGCTGCTCACCAATGCAGCCAGCAGG